CGGCCCGCCGCGCGGAGCGCCCCTTCTCGCACCCTGCACCATGAGCTGGGGCACCGAGCTCTGGGTGAGTGAGGGGCTGGGCCCCGCGGCCTGCGGAGGAGGCGCGAGCCCCGGTGCCCCTCGCCGGCCTCGGCCGATGCGGAGCTGCGAGCCGGTTCGCCCCTCGGAGGCAAAGGGGGTGGTGCGGGTCCCCGCCCCCCGCCCGCGTGAGGAGGGGCCGCGGGCCCGGGTCCCCCGGCAGACCGAGGAGGGGACGCAGATCGGGTCACCCCGGCGGCCTGAGGAGGAGGTGTGGGTCCGGTAACCCCGGCGGCCGGCGGGGGGCGTCGGGAAGACCCTCCTGCCTCGGGGCGGGTAAGCGGTGCCCGGGGACGGGCTTGGATGGGGCGTGGGGGCCCGCGCCGTGCGGGCGGCTTTATCCATCCGGGGGCCCCGGCCCCCAGGGCTACCTTCTCGGTTGGAGGTGCCGGCGGATGGGGCGCCGGGGACGAGAAGTGGCGTCCTCCCTCCGCGGGCGAGGACTTCTGATCCGCGGCGGGTCGGGGCGCGCTCGTCGTTCTGGAGAGGCAGCTGAGACCCAGAATCCGACGTGGGGACTGCGGTGTCTGGCCCCGAGGGGGAAAGTAGCAGGAGTTCGGGGGACATCTCAGGCTGTCACTCCCAGGAAGAGGCGTTCGCGGGCGAATAACTCTTTAACGGCTACTCAGAGGAAACAGTTTCAATTGGGAGGGTTGGCAATGAGGGGCGCCTCGCCAGGATCTTAGCCTGGGGGGTACGGCCGGGCATACAGGCCGCCGGGTGTCTGGAAGCTCTTCCCGGACTGAGGGCGACAGGGGGTGCCGAGGCAGCTCACAGGCCATCCCCGGGAAGGTTGCTTTGCCTTCAACTGGATTCCTGGGGAAATCACTGGGCAAGGGATGGGCAGCGCAGGGGCCGGGAAAAGGAGTGGAGGAAATCTCAATTTTAGTCCTGAAATGCTCTCAAGGTGAGCCATTTCCCATTATGGACTTTAAAGCGCCTGCCCACTACCTTTCGGAATTCCATTTGTAAAGGGTGTGGAGGATAAAGTGTGGGGCGGTGGTTGCGAACTGAGATGAGGCCGAGAAAGCTCACGTCAAAATAAAACAAGGTTAGGGCAGTTGCAGAAACAGAGCGCAACCTCCCTTGTTATTATTATTATTATTATTTTCTTGGCTTTAATTGTTTTTACATAACTATTTGTTATGCTTAGAAGCAGCTACTGTTATTAATACCAAAATCCCGAGGGCAATAACTCCCTTAAGATAATTCATTTTATAAACATCCTCTGTCTATAGGGATTCATGGCAAAATTTCTTCTGATGTTTATAACTATTCATGATGAAAATAAAATTACAGATCGTTTTAAATACTTGCACACACCTATTTGGGCAAAATCTATCACTTTACATGCTGTATTTCTTGCCTTTTCTATTCCCCTTCCACTCCTTGTAGCTCTTTTTAGCTTATTTTGGGTGGGGAAACAAATCAGAAGTAATAATCTTTATCGAGAGATTAGAAATTTTGGCACAATTATTTTCACTTGTTCAAACAGGAGAATGGAATTATGGAAGAAAAAATACAGTATATTTCGGAGTGAAACAGGGATTGAACACAATGGTAGACATTTCATAGTGATGTTGGTGAATGTTATAGAAGGTAATCTGGAAAAGAGGTGGCTGTGAGTACTGATAAAATAGCTCCAATTGCCTGCATTATTGTGTTCGTTTCTTTTCTGGAGTGGAGGGGTGGGAAGGAAGGCAAGGACAGGGGTTGTTGATAATAAATGGGAATCGGCATATATATGAATGATATAGAATTTCAGATTTGCTTCAAAATAATTTGGGGTGGTGGAGGATAGGCGATATTGAAACAAAATTGGTCATGAATTGGTGTATTAGTTTGTTTTTCTGTTGCCTATAACAGTTCCTGAAACTGTATAATTTATAAAGAAACAATCTATTTCTTACAATTTTGGAGGCTGTGAAGTCCAAGGTCCAGGAGCCCCATCTGGCTCACCATCTGGCCCTCTTCTTGGTGGGGAGTCTCTACGGAGTCCCGTGGCGACCCAGGGTATCACATGGCAAGGAGGGGGAAAGTGCTTTCATGTGTTCCCCTTATAAAGCCACCACTCCACACCCATGATGACCCAATACTTTATTACCCCATTAATGGAATAACCCATTCATGAGTGCAGGCTCTCATGATCAATCACCTCCTAAAGGGCCCACTTTTCAACACCACCACATTGGGGATCAGTCTTCCACATGAGCTTTGGAGGGGACAAGCATTCAACCCATACCAATTGGTAATTGTTGAAGCTGGGTGATGGGTACAGAAGGGTTCATGATACTATTTTTTCTACTGTATATGCTTGAAATTTTCTACAATGAAAATAATTAGGAAATATTTGTAAGGGAGAAAGGTATGAACTATTTTGAAATTTTTTTCACTTGGTAACTAAATGAGGAAGAATGAATTATCACTTCTCTATATGTAAGTATATGGCAGTGAAGAGTTAAAAAAAAAAAAAAAAGGCAGTCCTGTGAGTATCAGCCTTTGCCTTTGAGTAGCTTATAGTTTAATAGAGGGAAAGGAATGAGCACATTATTACATTACCCAGAGAAGTACAAAATCTGAGTTTTAAGGTGAAATGCAAAGGCATATAAGGCAACAAAATGTCTGTTTTCAGTTGCCTTATTTTAATAGTAGTTTTGAGATTAAAAACCTGGAGTAATGAAGGATTCTGAAAAATAAACCCACATTTTTCTGGTGGTCAGAGACTTGGTGGTGTGCGGTACATTTGGTAGCCCAGAGGAGGGCAGTGATTGAGGGTTTTCCTTGAACGGTGGCTTTGGGATCATGCACGTGTAATGAGATAATGATGGGGTGCTAAAGCCTAACTTGGCAGAGTTATATTTCTAGATTGAGAGAGACAGCTATGGTTTAGGTGCCATGAGTTATTTGTAACAGGTGGCTGCAGCTTTTGTGGACCTCCACAAATACTATCGAGTTTCACGCACACTTTAGGACTTTACTCAAAGTCCATATAGTCTTTTGAAAACTAAATGTTTCTAACATGCACTTTACATTAAAGGCCTACTCTTAAGCCACATCCTGCTTTGTAGAGAGTAAAACCTCTTTTTTTTTTTTTTTTCATTTTAACTTCTTTATAGGAGTAAACTTTCATATTCCAGGACATTTTTGAGAAATCATGAAATATCAGGAAGCTATCAAACAGCTATAAAAATGAACTCAAAACTCATAATTTATAATAACTATTGAACTAGTTTATGTTTAAATTGTGGCTTTCTATTCTTGTATCCATGGATCATAACAAAGTATAAATGGCCATTTTAAAGTGAATAGATTATAATAAAATTATTTCTGTACAACTCTTCATAACATTGCCTTTTAATCAAGTTTAAAATTTTTTATTGAGCAACTACTGTGTGTAAGTCACTGAGGTAAGGGTCTGCTGTAAGTCACATTACACACTTTGAAGGATATCTACTTATTTCAGTGAAAGCATATAAAATAAGTTTTACTTCTAACCTGCAACATCATAGAAGAGAAATTTATGTTTCTGTGTAAGATTAACCAAAATGCATTTACTCAGGACTTCTTTAAAGTGGCATCGTTAATAAGGTAAATATGTTCACTGACTTGGTGAAATTGTGAATGGTCGTTAGAAAAATGGCAAAGCAAGAGTTTATTACATTTGAATGTGTTTTTTTTTTTTTCCCTCACTTATGGGAAGGGAATGACAGGCTGCAGAAGTGTCAGTTTAGTTTTTTATTAGCTTGCTCATTTGTGTGAAGTATGAATAAATCCATTGGAAATTTTTGTTTTCCTCATAATTATTCTACTGTTTCAGCTACCTAATTACCCAGTGACAGACCTTATTTTGTTGTCTCCTAGTGTCCTCTCTGCCACAGTTATCTCTTTGCTCTGGTGCTAATGAGAATTGAAGTAGCCCAACATATAAGAAAAAGAACAGAGAGACATGTATAATACATATTGGTTAGCATAGTAGGAAGCTACCTGTGTTGATTGTGTATAATTTTTTTTAACCTGTGTTTTTAGAACAATGAGTATAATACACACTCAACTATCTTGAATATGGTGACATTGACTGTGGTATGCATTTTTAAGAGGCAGCCGTGTAAATTATCTACCATTTGTATTGGGAGCAATGGCTGACTCAGTATAGAAACTCAATAAATGTTTATTGAATGAATGAATGTATTCTTTTTTCCTTTTGTTTGAACAATTTTTTAAAAAAATAATAGGAAGGTAATTATAACGTCTTTCTGCATTTTGGCAATTATAAACTTTTTTTATAATTCTAGACACCTTTTTTAAAGAAAATGACTATTTTTTAGAGCAGTTTTAGGTTTACAGCAAAATTGACTAGGAGGTACAGAAATTTCTGTATATTACCTGCCCCCAAATACACATGGTCTGGGTACCTTTTTTTACTTTTAAAGAAGGGTTTGAAAAGTTATTCCTTCTCTGCTGTTCATGATACTTATGCCTGATATGTGTGTGTGTGTTTACATAAGAACACTTTATAGTGTGTTAAATTTTTTAAGTAGGCAATACTGATTATTTATTTATTTATTTATTTAAAAAGATGACCGGTAAGGGGGTCTCAACCCTTGGCTTGGTGTTGTCAGCACCACGCTCAGCCAGTGAGCAAACCGGCCATCCCTATATAGGATCCGAACCCGTGGCCTTGGTGTTATCAGCACCGCACTCTACCGAGTGAGCCACGGGCCGGCCTAGATACTGATTATTTTTTAATTTTGAAGTAATTGACTATTAATTCTTCCAGGTTTTGGAGAATTATTACCTCTTCTCACTGCCCTTGATTACTAAGTTGTAGTATAGTATTAACAACAGTTCAAGTTTTCCTACTGTTCTTTATTCTTAACCCTACAGAGATTTACTTGGGATAAACATAGCCAAGACCAACAGGGGAGATAATACTCCCCAAATTGTGGCAGGTACCGAACTACCTCAAAAGATAAACTAAATCAAATT